TTCATGCAAGAGCTAGCAAAACATTCCCCGGTGCTACGTGGGTTGGGGGGACACACGGCGGCGCGGCACTTTTCTCGTCTGGCGCTCTCTCCAGCGAGATAGTAGAGAAGGAAAAGTAGCCGAGCCCATGATGGTGTTTAGGGACGTTTCATAGCTTTTTTTATGTTATAAGTGTGTATTTTTCACCTAATTCTAGGAAGGGAGAGGCTCCGGGGTGGGTGAGCCAATTGGACGTTCAGCTTCAACTTTTTGCACGAGATAACCATCTTACCCGGAGCCTCTCCCTTTCTTGAAAATAGGTTTTATCGGCTCAGAAGAAGAGTATCCATAATATGCAAGCCTATAAGCATATGTGCCAAGAGTTAGTTTGTTCTAAATCACGAGACACAACAGTACAACCTCACCATCCCTTCCCAGGCTCAGGACCAGTACTACTATTTCGCTGGAGGGAGCGCCAGACGAGAAAAGTGCACCGCTGCCGCGTGGCACCCCCCAACCCACTTAGCACCCATTCTCCTTGATGACGAACAAGGTAGAAATGTAGTTGTAGGAGGGGCGGGGGGAGGCGTATTGGTACATCACGAAGTAACACCTTATACCATGCTAATTTCAACGTAGAATGTTATAGTTGGTATAACAAGAAGTTGACACGGTTTAACGTGCCACTTCGTGTTATACCAGAGCAATGTGGTTTTTCAACGCCTTAAGAGGGTAGGAGCACGGGCTAGCGCAGTTCCTTTGGAGGAGGCAATCACCTCACTTAACCCGCTGCTCCAACTCTCCTAAGGCTGAGCTAAAAAACTACCTTCTTGTGGCTAAAACGCATAAAAACACCCATGCGACCGATGCCCATCCTCTTCTTCGTCTCTGATACAGTGCCAGTATAAGACAGATGAGACAGACGCGTAACACTTTGTTATTTTCTTGTTATTCCGAAACTATCAAACGTGCTCCTCCCCTTGTACATTTTCACTACGAACAAAGTTGGTCCTGACACGATTAGTATCATTACCGTAAAAGTAAGCGTTATGAAATAAACTTTGCGGTTTTGCATATGCATATAGCTTTTGAATTCATTTTCTCACCCCTTTATGTATGTATCCCTTTTATTTATAGAGCAGTAACTTGGTGTGTTATTTTGTCAGTTTGTCTGTCTTTCCGTCCGCAAAACTTTATCATTACCATAAATGTGAAGACATGGAAGATGAAGCTCTATTCAGCACTTCCTTATAAATAAACATTATTTTGGTGGATCGGTCAAGGGAGTGGAGTGGGGTGAGTAATGTGAAGTGTGAACTTCAACGCTGTGATTTCGATCTGCACTGGCATCGTGCCAAGTGTGCCTATACAAGTTCGTGGGCGATAATGCAGTTGGGGGGTTCCGCTTTTTTTTCAACACTGAGCGCTGAGGGCATATAGGCTGATAGCCGAATTTCGAAGCCCATAATGGTACTCCGGAGCGTTTTCACCCGAGTATACGTAATTTTTTACCTAGCGTTTTCACCCGAGAATACGTAATTTTTTTTACCTAAGTTAGGAGGGAAGGCGCATCGGGGTGTGTGAGTCAGTTGAGTGCACAGTTCATACACCATCCTAACGATTTGCCCAAGGTAATCATCTCACCCTCCCCGGTGCTGTTCCCTGAGGCTTATGTAGAACTATATTTTTCGCCTAAACCTTCCCAAGCATAGGTGAGGTCAGCCACCTCTTCTTTGCACTAAGCTGACCCGACTGGTTTATAAACAGCAGTAGTAGAAGATTGATTCAAAGACTACGTTCGCAGCACAAGTATTTCTCGTAGGGACCATTTTCATGTGCCTTTTTTTCGTTATGAAAGCTTCTAAAATCACTGTGAACACTTTTTATCCTTTTTATTCAGGTTGATCACCATCCTTCCTGAACATTGTGAAATGGATTCTCCTGATGAAGGTAAAGGTTGATGGTTGACTCTTTTAATATTATGACTGCTCCAGTTGCTGTTCGAAGGCTAGTGGTTCGCACGAATGTGTGAAACAGTAATTTTTCGTACGAATCAGATGATTTTATCAAGTCGGTCATTTCTACGTGATGGGTGAATGCGATTTATCATGCAGGGCTATAGTAGGGTGGAGAATCTTTTGAACTTGCTTATAGGATAAGTTGAGCCTACTTTTAGGTTAACGGTTAGCGAACCATATTGTCAAGTCAAATTTCGGCGGCATACATTTTAGGAAATGATACTGATAATTTTGATACCGTTCGTAGTTCCCGGTAATAATTTGTTGCCAGGTTCGCTAGTTACGAATGATATTTGTAGAGCATAGATATCGGAGATGGAGTATGGAATCCAGAAAGGCGGTAGTGGCAATTGCTAGGCTGTATGTAATCACATAGGGAGCTGGTAGCGAGTATGCAGAAATAAGTTAGGAGAAGAATCAGTATATAAAGGGATCGAAGGATTGAATTGTTCTTTATAAAAGGTTTTTGAGTGCAGTTACTGTTTTACTTTCATCTAAAGTAAGGGAGGCATCTTTCATTCAAAGTAAGGGAGGCATCTATACCTGCCATAGGAATAGTGATTCTTCTGCCAGCAAGAGGTAGAAAAAGCTCATAACAGTTTGGAAAGAATGGGGAATCATCGTTGCTAAACTGCAATGGGAGCCAGCGTAGAATCATGATGTCATCAAAGCGAAAAATGGTGAGTTGTTTTGTGGGAACGATTCTGTATTTTTAGAAGAGCGAGTAGCCTATATTGTCGAGAAAATCTTGGATTCTCGAAAAGTGAATGGCAAACGGGAATATCTAATCCTGTGGCAAGATTACGGGATTGAGGAAGCTACCTGGGAAAGCGATGAACATTGTGTTAGTTCTTATTCTCAGATTGTAAAAAGCAGCGTGATTTCTTTTAGACAATATATTTATTCAAGGATTGCCCCGATGCGATCGCTGCTTTTCATAAGGAAAAAAAGGCTGCTAAGGCGAAGAAATTACTCAGGTAAGGTGGCTCTTCTTCCAAGTATTTTGTTCGTCTTACATGCTTAATCAGTGAACTTTCAATGAAGTTTTCAGAGATGGTTCAATTCTCAGCAAACATGCCTCGAAACAGCAGACGGAAAAGGTTCGTAAGTAAATCTGGAACGAGTGTTACATGATGTACTGATCTGATCGAATATGCTATTTACGTTTTGTGCCCGTATCGTTGTCAGTGTAGGTGAACTGTTTTCTTAGGCATGCATACTGGTCTGCTCATATTCCCAAGAACTTTTCCACACGGCTGTTTTTACCGTCTTGCCTCTTGAATTCTGAATTAAGATATTTCTTGTCCGATTCCTTTTGATCATTAATTTTAGCCTTTATGGCGAAGTTCGGTTAAATTTGACATATGTGAATTTTGTATCACGTATGGTGATTGAGTCGTTGTGTAAGAGTTTTTCAGAAACACGCTTTTCTCTCATTTGGTTGCTACAGAAAAAGGGAATATCAAACAAGAACGACAGTTCATCATATTCGGTTCCATAGAGTAGACTCAGCTTCAAAAAGTAGTTGTGGACTACAGATTGTATCTCGAGTAAATGCCTGCTTATATGCTTACAGAATATGGAGCATGGATCTGAATTGAGCGAGAAAATGGCTTCGTCATAATTTTTGTTGATTGCGAAGCGTGGTGTAGAAATCCAGGTGCTACGAGGTACTGATAGATAGCCATCTGTCAGATGTATAGGTTAATTGTTGCAATGTTACTTCTCTCAATACATTTGTTTTGATCATTTGTAATGATTTTCTTGTAGTATTTCAAAACTTATGCACTCGCTCAGCAGTAATTCCACATGGTCACATTTAACCGAACCTTGCCTTCAAGGCCCTCGTAAAACTCAAATAACATCGGTCTTATCTATTTGAGATCATCGAAGGGTTTTTCCTGACTTTAAGGTGATTTTGTCGGGGCTTCCAATACTCTCAATGCTAGGCTGTATCTTATTAAAAGCCTGTCGCATATTGAGGTTAAAACCGTGTGAAGTTTAGTCCATGCACCGAAAAAGTCGTTATCTGCTCGTGCACAAAAAGAAGCACTCATTTGACAGCTGTGTCTCACGTAAATTTCTGTATTCCCCAGATGTAATGCGAGTATTGAGCAGTAGACGGCGCTCCCATGATAAGTAAGTACTAATGATTAGTAGAGCCTGCTAAATATATGATAAAACGTGATTAGGAAGCTAGCTAATGATGAAAAGTGGGAAATATTCGCAGGAGTGGTACCGTAGATTCCAGCAGTGTTGTACTTTCTTCCTTGAAAACATCCACAGGCATTCCTGCAGAGGTTTTATTTTGTACTATGGTCATGAAATCTGTGTCTCGAAGATTCATGTGCCGAAATATCGAAAGGCATTCTTTTGTAACCGTCGGTAAGTTAAAATTCGTCTTGAAAAATCAAATTCGAAATGGGAGCATTCAGATGACCTTTCCCCTAGAATCGTTATTGTTACCCATATATTCGTCAAGATATAGTTTGTTGCGAGCGAATGCTTCATATCATTGAGTAAGTGCATTATTGTGATAGCGTTATCAGTCACAGGGGTAATATCAATTAAGTGGTTTTTGGAAGAACACTCTTCCACTACGGTGAAACTACATGCAGTAAACCTGCTTGACTTGTCTGCCTGTTCGGGCATACTCTGACACCCGCTGCTGAGACCTCTCTAAGGGAAGCTTACCTCATTATTCCTTGAGCAGTGGTAACTGGTTACCGCTATCTGTTGCATTGGATTTTGTAGTAAACTTGTTTCTCTAGCGCTTTCTTACTGGGCTTAACTCTACTCAGGGGATTATCGATACACTCCTACTACCTCCTATCACCCATGTCATGGTCCAACATGCCTAGTTGCCTAACAAAAATTCACGACGCCAAACAGAAGTTAGTGAAGACTGGTGAGTGCTCGACTAGATGATAAGCTGGTGACAAGGTTTTTAAGGTAGCGCTAGGGAAGGAGAAGTGGTGAGGGAAAACGCAGCATTTTTTTCTGGTCATTTATTACTTAAGTGAATTCATTGGTTACTGTTTATTCTCATTGTTTCCTACAACTACAGCGTGAGTTTTTGGGTGGGTTCACTTCGATTCTTCGGAAAAATTCGTTATGCGATTGTGTGATTAGTGAAAATTCACAAAATAGGTTCTACGGTTATAAAACTGTTCGTAACTATATTCTGAGTCCGCGCACTGCTTACAAAGCACTTGGGGGGAATGCTCATCGCTTATGATTTTGTTTTCAGATGCCAAGTGATAAGAGTAAATCTACTCGAACTACTGGGCACATAAAAGTTCCTCTAGTCAAGCATGGTGAGTATAATGTATTTCATATGTTATTCTTATTTTGTAATTTGTTCTATATGAAGAAGATATGGCCTCAGGTAAAACGAAGAAGTATTTGATTGAGCGCGGAAGAAAGATTGAGGCGATACTCGGAGTGAATAAGGATGGCGATGATCTCATGTATATGGTGCGGTACAAAGGTTCTGAACCACAACATCACAGATCTGAGTTTGTGCCGTCGTCGGTTTTGCGACGTGTTGCTTTAAAGGTAGATTTTTTCTGGCATTACCTTGATGTTGAGATTACCGCCAACCTTTTATTTTTTACCTGATGATGTGGAACGTAGAATTCACCCATTCACTCTAAGTGGAAGTGTGTCCATTAGTCACTTACTTATTACTTCATTCATTTGCTAGCGGTAGCGCGATACGGGGCACAAGGGAATATCGAAAACTGGCTGTCGACATCTCGCAAGTGATTTATCCTAATAGAGGTCGACCTAAAGTTTGTTTAGACCCTCTTTGACTTCCTAAACTTCTATCGTTCTGACGCATCAACGCAAAAAAAATAAGGAAATAGTATATGAAAAAGCCCATGACTGAGTACGGCGTAATAGCTCCATGTTTTCAGAAACCTCAACTTTCAAAAAGAGACGCTAACCACGCAAAGATGTTCTTCAAAGGGTAGATAGTTTACTCTTAAGATTGCTGAAAAGTTCTCATATCAGATACCCTAACTAACGACCTTGTGACCCTGTTTTTCAAATGGAATGCACACAACATGACCCAGGGCTCTGTTCCGGCAGAACGGTGCCTTCTGCGTGCTTAGCACAGCCTTATAGGCACAGATACACCAGTTACATTGGGTACAGTTCAGGACTTGTCAGAGTTCTGGATTAGTCAAAGTCTTGTTCACTGGGGCAGTCATGGGTAATCCTCGTACATGGTCATAGTTCATAATTTCGCAATATTACAGTCATGCGAATACGAGAAAAGGAAATTTATGAAAAGACTGGGACAGATTTAGAATCTAAGCTTTGTATTGTAGTAGAATGTAGGAAGTGTCCCTAATGCTGTATATTTTTGATTTTGACATTGACGGATCGCATTGCAGGATTTTGTTAATTCGCTCGAGGAATTCGCCATGGTGAATGGTCCTTTCATGCAAATGTGAAGGTGAGGCTTTTATTTGAAGATCATTTTCTCCATTCTCCAAACCGTCTCATGATTTTGGAACATCGTCTCTTGTAGTTCAATTGGCTTCTTTCTGCACTGGACAGGAGCTCTCTGAAATTTGAAGTCTATGTATTTCTTTGTACCTCTCTTAAACACGGTTTTTTTCGTTATCATCAGAGATCTGCCTCTCGTATACGTTCGCATTTTCAAATTTTCACTTATCAATAGTCTTTGAACTTCGTGCGATAGTTTTTTTCATCATCCGGATAAACAATGCAGGAGGTTCGAAGTCGTTTCTCATTTCATGCCTTTTTTACCATCTTGTATTGTTATCTTCTGTCTGGAAGTCTACTGTACATTTGTTCAGATTTCGATCGTTATTGTTTTTCTTTTGTACTTTGTGTGTATTTTTTTTGTTGAATGCATGCATTTGTATCTTTATTGTTACCTGGATTTCTGTAATGAAGATCTGTTTATCTTTTGATATTAGCCGGAAAACCATGCATTCACAGCTAGGTTCACAGGCATGCACAGTCGCCTACCTACGAAATCTTCTGCGTAATCTCCGAAAGAAAAACATGCAAAATTGTTTTACGAACTTGATCGCGCGGGTTTAATGCATCATGCATGCAGACAAGAGTGACGTAAAACCGATCCTTTGCAGACAAGAGTTACGTAAACCGATTCAGGTCCTCTCTGTATATAAGCCATGAGGAGATGACTCTCCAAGGAGCCCGTCTGGAATGGAGATAGAACAGCGCATCAAAGCCTATCGCTTCGTCTCATATGCCGCTGTCACATTCTCCGTGGTTGCTGTTCTTTCTGTCTGCCTTACTCTGCCAATGGTTTACAATTATGTGAATCATGTGAAGAGTCAGATTAACATTGATATTACCTTCTGTCAGAGAACTGCTAAAGATATTTGGTCTGAAGTCAGTCATCTCGATGTTCTACCCTCTTCAAACAGGACTGCCCGTCAGGCATATGCTGGTGATGACGCTGGCGTTAGTGACCAAACTGGAGGAGGTGGATGCAGTGGTTGTTGTCTTCCAGGTCCTCCCGGACCAGCTGGAACTCCCGGCAAACCTGGTCGCAACGGAAAACCTGGAGCTCCTGGATTACCAGGCAATCCCGGTCGACCACCTCAAGCACCGTGCAACCCAATTACCCCACCTCCTTGCAAGCCTTGCCCTGCTGGGCCTCCTGGACCACCCGGTCCTCTTGGGCCTCCTGGAGATGCTGGTCCTGATGGTCAACCTGGTCAGCCTGGTAACGCTGGAAGCCCTGGTTCACCTGGCCCCAAAGGACCTCCCGGTGCGGACGGACAACCTGGAGCACCAGGAGCTCCTGGCCAACCAGGATCAGACGCTTACTCAGAGCCAATCGTTCCTGGAGAACCTGGACCCGCTGGAGCACCTGGACCACAAGGACCACCTGGACCCGACGGGCAACCAGGAGTCGACGGACAGCCTGGTAAGTTTTCTTCTCGACATTCATGTAAACATTCTGTGTTCTCCGGTTATTGATACTATTTTAGGGCAACCTGGACCTAAAGGACCTCCCGGACCTGATGGGCAACCTGGCGCTGATGGAAATCCCGGTCCACCAGGTAATCCTGGAGAACATGGAGCTGCTGGCGAAAGAGGTATTTGTCCCAAATACTGTGCCATCGACGGAGGAGTCTTCTTTGAAGACGGTACTCGACGTTAAATTTCTTCTAGTTGTCTGTACATTCCGCAGTGCTCAGCAATAGCTTTATAAATGCTTTCTTTCGCATTCGTTCACAATCTCATTGATAGAAATCTTGTATTATTCAAAATTTTATTCATCAAATGTATAGAAATATATAGATATATCAAGAAAAATACACGCCTCTGCCTAGGCTATTTCGTTAATAACGCGATAATTTGCTGAAGCCCATCAGTTTTAGAGCAGCTTTGCGTTCACGAAATGGCCTAATGAATTTCCAAATTAATTGGCACCAAAAAGCGAGAAAGCAACTGAGTTTGTGCGAAAATAAAGCAGAATTTGGTTAGTCAAAACTACAATTAAATACATTCTGAGCGACGGCTGCCCAGTGACTAGAGAGAGGGCCCAATGGCGAAGGCAATCGACGCCAAATCGGACGAGTTCAATCGTATTCTGTTCAACGGAATTGACAGAGCATTTGAGCAATAATGTCGTTCAAAAGGCTTTTTCCTGAGTATTTTCTGTAGATTTGGTAACCTGAAATAGTCAAAGTAGGAATGTAAGGGTACAAAATCAAGTGCACAGTGACTCCTAGTCTTCGATGAATCTACTCAGCTTACCCTGATAATGGTATCCTTGACGGACTGCTTGTCCTGTTTCCTGGTTTTCCCTCTGATTGATGTTAGCAGCATTTCTTTGAAGGATGGATTAAGCCACGCATACAGAATCGGATTCGCCACATTCGTCGTCATTGAGATGCTGCAATCACAGACTAATATTTGTGTAAGGCTACTAGATGTAAAAAGTGCTATTTTTAGGAAAAGCCTAGCATATTGCTGGTACACCACTATAAACATATTAATAGGCTTGATTTCTATGGATGACAGACACCTGGATCTAGAAGAACCGTTTCGAAGAATCTCTAGGAAACTGCGCTCAGAAGCGCAACAGGAGATCAACTACGAGCGATTCTGCATGGCCCATGACCCGCGAGGACATCGAAATGGGACTGGTACAGTAAACGTTTCGTCGAAAACAAAAGCCTATCCCAGTGGCTGTATGTTATGAAGTTATGAATGTTAGTAGGAATGGCACCTCCCTCTTCACCCCCTCTACCCCGTAACCGTTGAATTTACCGCTGAACACCAGTGCACTTAACAGAAGCGGTGGGAATCCATTTAAAAGGCACAGTTCACGATAATTTTGAGGTGTCGGGACAAGTTCTCACGGCGTCATAGAAGCTGTAAAGGTTGACCATTCACGCCGGGATGGAGTGGTTGCACGCAGGCAGCTTACTGTAGCCAATGGCACCAACATTTGGACAGCTCAAACAAATACCCTTCCCATGCAACTATGTATTGTCGTCNCATAATTCTGGACTATCTCTTCCATTACTCGTCTAAAAAAAGGTACCCCAAAATTATCGTGAACTGTGCCTCTAACTGCTTATAAGCACGAATGGATAGACGATAGTAAGAGTACACATATTATTAACTGAAACTCACAGGTGTGCAATCATTGAAACGATGTACGTGTTGTCGCTCTCGCCATTGTGAAAGAACGCTTCATCGTACTCGATAATCAGAGTGTAGACGTTATGTGGAAGCCAAGTGAAACCAAACAGCAACACCTAAAGATCTCATCGTCAATTGGGGCAGACCAGGCCTTACCTTAGATTACCGTTTTTGAAAGCTACACATAAATGGCAACTCAATCTATGAAAACAACTGGAACTTTACTCTTATATCCAATACCCATGCCCAGACACTTATCGAATTATCATGGGATAAGTGATCGAGCGGTGTAGAAGATGAGTCTTCGAAAATGTGCTCAAATACTCACCATGGAGGCGAGAATGGTGGTCGTCCGTCTCTGGGAAGCTAGCACTGACAGACGCTGTTGCTCTTCCAATGTGACTGTATGCGCTCCATTCTCCTAAATATCGTAAGGTTTTAAAATTCAGCCATTCACAAGGGGCGACAAAAAAAGGAAAAGTGCTTTTTAGGAGGAGCTTAAGGCACCAGAGTATGGTGGAGGTTTTGAAGTTGCTAGATGAGCCTATGGGACGAACCCCAATCCGACCTGCATCTCCAGAATGATTAATTGCGTACAATATGTACAATGAAATAAATATGCCAGCGGTGTTGGAGCACGAAAACGAACTTCTATATTATTAACAAAAAGAATTGGACCGAGCCGCACAGTCCCATCCTACGCATTCCTGGTTGGTCTTTGAGTGAGTTTATTTTTGCACCTCTACGAAGTTTAACCAGCTAATCTGCCTCAAATGCTCTCATCATCTATCTTACCACTACAAACCAACGAAAGGAGAACTTTATTGGACCATTTTCGCTTCTAATGAGCTCCTTGGTGAATTCCGAACCACCTCTTTATCAAACAATAAAGATTGTAAGCGATGAAGGATAAAAGATAAAATCTTGGGACTTTAATCAATATTGTCTGAGAGATACGCCCCGAATTCAACTTC